TCTTCAAAATCATTCGAATTACACTTTTCCTTAAAGGACAATCCGAATCAACGAAGATACCCATCTCCTTATCGAATTTCAGGCCTTCTTTCTTGAAGGGCTGTTGATAGGCGAACACATTTCTGCCGATTTTACAACAGCTTACGCAGTTTCTCTTCTGAGTTTTGAGCCAGCTAAGTGAGGTGCAATCCAACAGGACCTTTCTTATCCAGAACTAGTCCATACGATCGCTCCCTTATTCCTAGTTTCATTTATATCTTGAAAATTAAATAATAATTGCCATATTGAACTGCTGATTGAATACAGGAGGTAATAAGACTGAATATAAGATTTGACAGTCCAAGGGACTGGAGCCTTAGCCACAGTCGATCTTTAGAAATGGAGAGAATTGGATTTTGAAAAATTAGTTTTAATCCAATAATTAATGTAGATTTTGAGAAATTTAAAATACTTTACTGTAACATTGTGACTTTGAATTATTATAAAAAATGACATCCGGATATCGAGAGAAAAACTACAAAGTACTCAAAAGTAGGTGAAATACAGCGCCTTTTCAAATTTGCTCCTTCATAAGCAAAAAGATCTGAGAAGATAAATATATCTGTTTGTAGCTTTTCTTTGTAATGTATGAACTCCTAGAAGAATATAGTAGTGAAATTCAAAGAAGGCCTGATGGCAAACATCACTCATTCCATACTTATACAACTTTTGGTGGTTTAAACATAGCATCTTCCAAAGACACATGTGCCTCCCATGCAGGCAGACATAATTGGGTTAAATTGTGAAAGTATGGAAGTAACATCAATTTGATTGTTTCAGATCAATATTTTAGGTTTTAGCCTCCAGAATCACAGGCAGTCAAGTTCTTCTGAAGAGATTTTTGACCTGCTCAAGCTCATCTGCAGTCATGATTCGAAGTGTGCAATTAGTTAATTCCACGTTTGGTTGCTATGATCGCTGTTCGCTGACGTCTAAGCAACACGTACAGCTACAAAACGAGTTACACAACAAGTGTACAGCAGCTTGTGGTCAGTTAAAATCTTGTAGAAAATCCTACTAAGTGTCAAAAAAAACCTACGAAATGTCATTTTGCAAGATTCGTAATAATCGTGCCGATTGAAACAGAGTTGTAACCAAAAACAGTAAAGCTCAGTTATAATTTATGTATTTGCATTTGATATAATTTCATTAATATTTATTAATTGTTTGATAATTCATCAAGCATACGTCCCTATCAGGAGGAAATTTTTCCGCCAGAAAAATGGTCAACCGACCGAAGGAAGCAATAAGATTAATCTTTTCTAACCAGTTATTGTTCGCCCTTTGTCACGTTCAAGTCGAAAAACGAATTCAAATCCGATATTCCCAGATAATTTAAAATTAGGAATTTTGAGCTATTAGTGTGAGTAAATGACAACACTGTCGAGTATAATTTCAACATTCATATACTTTTTGTCAACCTTCCTATCAAAACATTTTACTGTAATTTTTAGCCTAAAACATCTCTAGGTTTTTGTTACCTAAAGTCATACATCGTTAAATAACTTATTGAAATCTCTATGTTGCTCTTTTTAGATTGCTGATAAATATCTGTCAAAATATAGCTTAATTCTTAATGTCCTGGGTTTGATTTCTAAATTTTGTTCAAATTCATTATAATATTTCTTTGATCTTACTCAGATTTATTATATAACTTCGCCTCAATACTTTTTCAATAAATCATATACTCTCTCCGACTATGTGTCGTTCTCACTTTTATCTTTTGTCAATGAGGCTATGGGAGCTATTGCGATTGCGTCTATCGTGGTTTCTAGTTACCAGTCTTTGAGTAGCTGCTTCAGCCGTCATGACAACGAAGAAGATCATGGCAAATAAAGATTAGGTTCCAGTATTAAAATAGTTGCTGTGACAGATTCTGGACGCACTTACTTTTCACAAGCTTCTTGGTTTTCTAATAAAGTATATATAAACGAAGCACCGATAATAATTCAACCTGTCACTCTACCTTTAGTATTGCTTCATATCTTTTGGAAAGTGAAACATACTGAAGGCAGTATTGATATTTTTGGGTAATAGCATGCTATTTCCTTGTGAAGGCAGAGGACTGTGACGATTATATTATGTTAGAAAATTGATAATTATAAACACACACACACACACACACACATATACGAGCCCCTTCCCACTTCAGTTGGCCCACTTCAAGATTTGTACCAAAATATGCCTTTATAAACTAAACATGACGAAACTATTTACTTCTAAAACAATTTTTTTTCTCAAAAACATTTTAGATACACTCTAGTCGTAAAAATACATATTTGAAATCACTTAGACCTATAACTAATAGAACATCTGAACAAATAAACAATGTGAGAATAAATGCGCGAAGTTAACAAAGCAACAATTGAAAGATTACCTTTGGGTAACATCACCTTTATTTTTAATACGGCTGAAATTCTTCGGGTCATAGTGTTAACTAAGTTTTGGCAAAAATTTGGTGTAAAACAATCCCATATTTCTTTTTCATCTCGTGCCACAAAGTTTCAATAGGTGACAGATCTGGACTGCTAGAAACCCATTTCAAAAGTGGTACATTATTTTCTTCCATCCATTTTATAGCCTTTTTTGAGGTATGGCTCGCTGCACCATCTTGCTGAAACACAAAATCTTGGCCAGATGTCAAACATTCTTCCATCACTGGTAAAAGCGATTCTTCTAAAATTGCCAAATATTTGTTTGTATCCACATTTCGATCAATAAAATGAAGTTTTTTTTGCGAATAACTCTACTGCGACTATCACCAACACAAACTTCGAATCGGGCCTCATCACTCCATTGTATTGCACACCATTGTTGAGGTGTCCATTGTCTATGTTCTTTAGCCCATCTAAGCCGACGTTTCTTTTGCAGTGGAGTTAATAGTGGCTTTTGTTTGGCCTTTAAACAAGTTGTGCAACTTTAGTGTTTTACTTAACTTTTTTTTTTATAAGAAAACTTACCTTGCAAGTGCTAAATTCCAGTTTGTGGGCCTCTCTATGAGTTGTGGACCTCGAAATTCTCCTTCCAACAGGGTCACTCCACAAGGCACTTAACTGTAAATAATTGGCATGCCTGTTTTTCACGATTATTCTTCTTAATGCTCTTCGGTCGGCATTTGTGATATTACTTTTTTTCACATATCGTGGCTTAATATTAACTGAACCCGTTACGTTATATCTTCTAACAATATTTCTCACACTGTACCGCGATAAGTCTAACAAAATTGCAATTTCTGAGTTTGATTTCCCAGAATTAAAAAAATTAATTATCAGTAACCGAATTTTCTCAATAATAACCTTTCCTCTACCCATTTTGAAAACCTTAACTACCCAAAACTATTTTAAACGTATTCTGACAGCTGTGATTTATAAAAACAATTGTCATGGCTTTTATTTTTCACAGCCATCTATGCGTCATGGACTTATTTTGCATTGAAATGAAAATAGGTTGATGCTGTAATTGCAACATGTGTTATTTTTATGCTGCAAATTTGATTAGGGAGTGATAAATTTGGTGTTTTCTACTATATATTATCAAAATATTTATTGTTAATATTTTAAACCTGTAACACCCTGCTACATTTTTATTATTTGTGTTTGATAAGAAAAACACTAAGATTTCAATAGTTGGGCCAACTGAAGTGGGAAGGGGCTCGTATATATATATATATATAGAAAAATAATGGGCAAAATCCGCAAAAACAAGGAAAGTGAATTCGAGCAGAAAATAGGCTAGGTAACCCGAGGGATACGTATTTCTGCTGGTTGGCTTCATCAGGCCCGAAATGAATGCACATATGCAACTACAAAGGTAGATACACATGCCTATACATCCGGATGCAGGTGTAACCTGAGGAAACGAAGATGGAAAGGGTAATAACACGATACACGAAGTCACAAAGAAGACCCAACCAACACATTGTACTATAGAATGGCTAGAAGACCTCGAATTTCCAAGTAGACAACTAACCACAACCATGCAACCGGTTATAGCCACTTGCTGTGTCGAGGTCTTCTAGCCGTTTTATTCTACAATGTGTAGATTGGCTCTTGTTGTGGACTTCGTGTGTCATTTTTTCCTTTCCATCTTTGATTCCTCAGGTTATACCCGTATCCGGATGTATGGACATGTGTATCTACTTTTGTAGTTGCATATGTGCATTCATTTGGGGCCTGATGGAGCCAACCAGCAGAAATACGTATGACTCGGGTTACCTAACCTATTTTCTGCTCGAATTCACTTTCCTTATTTTTGCCGATTTTGACCATTATTTTTCTTTTTGTTATATACCTTTTTCCTCATAATCCCTTTCTCTGTATATATACATAATATATATAGTGTTGGAATTCGAACTGACATTTCAGCTCCAAAAATGTGCAAGAGCATGAGGTTTGGTTGTCGATTATAAAGATAAAAACTTACGCGTTTTGTACAGTCTAACCAAACTCAAAGCTACTATTTAGGTGCTACAACTGTATTGTGTTTGAATGAAATTCGAAGGTTTTTTAAGAGTTGCTAGTTTAAAGTTATTTCTAAACCCTTCTTGAAATCTTGTGTGCATTTTGCTCCATGGAGTCAAATTCGCGAGGGTTGTAGTTCAATTAAAGATTTATCCCTTAAATGATGATTCAAGCCGCTAGACTAAAATCAGCTCCATAGTATCACATCTGCAATCTGCCACTTGTCATAAAAACTGCTTGGTTACACTATTGTATTTACAAGGCTTAAGCAAACTGTAGATGTCACACTTTATAGGACTAATAATAACCCTTCCAACCGTCTGTAACGCCAGCAAGAGCCATAAACATGCAACAGTTTCTATCGAGAGGGAATTACCATTTACCTGAACATACTATTACATAAACAACTAATTACTTTCAGCTATTTGCCGATTTTATATAATCGGTCAGAGTATTTCAAAACACATGCTGCACACCAGCAAACCCGAGTGGTGCAGCAGACTTTACATAATTTTACGAATGGTGGATGGGCACTCGAATTTTTAACAATACCATCGTCAAGTAACAATGGTTACCCCGACGCAGTGCGTCCAAGCGTTGCGTCTGTCCCCTCTCTCAAGTTGAAGCCCCCGTATAAAACCATAAGAAACTTTCGCTGGATTTTTAATCAATGAAGTCAATATAATGTCTTGAGTGATAACTTGGAGTAACTTGAGGACTCGAGATTTTTTCAACCTTTGTTTTTGGTGCGAACGGCAGCTGAGTTCAAGATGATTTTGGCTGGAGTTTTTTTGTGCTTTTTGGAACTGACTGGTGCACAGGAAGTGGATAAGAATCAAACAACGCTTGTTACACGTAAGTCAATCAATTTGAGCAATATCAAATTAAAGAGCGATATATCCCTTGATGCAACCTTTATTTGAAAAAATGCATTTGCAAAAACTCATCATATCCTCGCAGTGTTGCTACATTTTATTTGTTTATCAAAATGAGATTTTTGGAGATGTGTGTAGTTACAAGACGTAAGTGTCTGATATTTTAATTTCTTTCTGTAAAAATGTTCTCCGTACAATACATTTTCACAAAACCGTTTTTTATACAAAATATAACGTGTTTGTGGGAAAAGTTTGACAGTTGCATCGTAACTTAAGATACAAATAACAAGTTAGGAAATAAGACAGAGGGGGTTGGATGCAAAAGAATATTAGGGCTTTTACTTTAATCATTTTGAATTCCGTATAGCCGAGAAACCTTAGACTTAAACCAGGAAAGCCGGTTCCATCGCATAGATTTTTGTAATTTACTCATTAATTTTGGCCGCTTTTCATTTCGCTCATTTTATTTTTTCTATAAAAATTCGTCTTTCATGAATTAACCGTATATATTCAGGGTTATGATACAGAATCTGATAGATCTAGTCAAACCGAACAAAAAAGTTCACGTGAACTTATGTATTTTATGGCTTCGTTATCGTTCGTGAGATATATTGTGTTCAAGTTCTATTTTCCTACTCCTGATATTTTGAATTTATCTCAAATTACTTGGGTGATTTAGACGAAACTCCGTAAGTCGATGGTATTTCTAAAAAAAGGTTACTATAATCAATAATATGTTCCATTACCAAGATTTTGGGTGCTGTGTAAAATTCCTCTAACTGCAGCATATTTTATATTTCCATTATTGCATATTTAAAAATGTAATAGATAATATAGAAAGTCAGTAGCGATGAAAATTATTTTCAGTTTCTTCTGTAGTGCTCAAAGTTTTGCAATTTATACACCATTGGCGTTTTAATTCAATATCTTGGGACTACCTGAATATATTCTTTATTACAAATTTTTGGGACTCACATGAACTTTTTTGAATTATTTTTTTCTACTGTATGTCCTAGGAATAGCAGCTGTTCTCTGAATCTCTCTATTTTTCTTCATTTTTTTTCAATTTTTATTTATTGTTCTTAAAGGTTGTCGTAATGGAGTTCATCCAGTTTTGATGGGTAAGCTTTTTTAGTTAGGTAACCTTTTAATAGTGCAATCAAAAGGGTTTCATGAAAATGCATTCAATGAAGCCGGATTCCAAGGCTCCACTAGTAGAAATATATTATTTTAATAAAGATAAGTTTAGGGATTCACTAATATATACACATTACTAAAAGCGTAATTTCCAAAATCTGCTGTATTCGAGGAACAATAAACATTTCTATATGTACAGACTAGTGCTAAACTTCCTTAAACGTCATCGGGTTTGAGAGTTCTTGAAAAGGAGTGAGTAGGACTGCTCAGAGACCTCATCATTTTTTGCTATTTTCGGAGATCTGTCTTTGGTAGTGGAGACACTTCAGTAGGGAGACCGTCGCCGACTTGTAATAGCTACCCGCTGTTCATTTTCTTCGTAATAGTGTATATGGCAATAGGCGACAATTAACTTTATAGATACAAAAAGATACAGCGCGTACTCAGAAGATCTACTTCATGCGAAACACCAAGTACAAATTCATGGACTAGTACATTTCTGCACCCGTTAGTTCTTGTAATGCCGGTATCGCTGTAAGGCAATACCAAGAAAAGTGATTCTTTTGGCCAATCCCTGGAAAACTTGGTTGAATAATATTCATGTCGTACTTTGTTGCTTCCAAAAAGGCTTCTTTTACTTTCAAACAAGGAACTCTTGTGACGTAATGTCCGAATACCTCGAGGTGCACAGTAAAATTCCTCCGTGCAAAAAAACAGATTGCTGTATTTTTTCCAATAGGACACAAGAGAAATGGTATATAAATAGCGCGTAATATTCCCATTCGTATAATGTGCAAGTCAATGAGTAAAAAAGAGATTTCAGATGCGGCAAAGCAACTCAAAAATAAATTTACATCAGGGCCAGGGATCAACTTCCATCGTGTTTCATTAAAGACTGTATCAGGCTCTTTCCAACTCCTTTGTTGACAATTTTCAACTCAAGTGGGAGGCTGCCAAAGTCGGACCAATTTCCAAGTCGCACGACAGAACCTCAGCTAATAATTATAGGGTGATTGATCACTATAATGAATAACTTGCAAAGCTCTTTGAAATAATATTGTATTCCCGAATATACTTGGCAACTAAAGACCATCTGTCAGTGCATCAACATGACATTATGAAGCAGATATCCAGTATTACTAATTTGGTCACGTTCAGTGAATATCTATGGGAAACGGTAGATAATAGGGAACAAATGGATGTCATATATACTGATTTTACAAAAGCGTTTGACAAAATTGACCATCAACTACTTATACAAAATACTGAATAAATGGGATTCAACACAACTTACGTGCATCTTCTTAAGTCTTGGCGAGACTCAATGAGTATTCTGTAATGGATTTAGTGTATGGTGTATCAATAACAATTTGTAATTGAACAACTCTAAATGTCGCATTGTAACCTTCACCCGGAAAGTGAAATTTTAAACTTACCCATACAAAGTATTCTTCTGTATTGGAAAGGTGTGGAACTTTCAAAGACTTGAACGTGTATTTCAATTGTCAGCTCACCTTTAACTACCACATCAGTGAAATTATACGTAATGCGTATCGCACATATGGCTTTATTATCAGGAATTGTAGAAGTTTCAATATCATAACGCTTATTAAGTTATTTTGAATGCTTGTTATAAGTAACCTAGAATACGGTGCAATTACTTGGAGTCCTATTTATGAACTCTACAAAAATAATATCAAAAAGCGCAAAAGAAATTTCTAAAATACCTATGTTATAAGAGTTATGGTATCTATCCTCCAAGAGGATATGACTACTCATTATTATTGAATAGATTTGGTGTCGCTTCTTTGAAGCAGCAGAGAGAGCAGGCGTCGGTCATATTTTTATTCAAAATACAGCATGGTATCATCGACTGTCCTGTTTTGCCAAAGCAAATTGATTTCCTGATATCTAGATGACATCCAAATAAAAATATAATATATGGTACTGTTTACTCTCTCTTCGTATTTAAGAACCTTTGCATACCTACTTAACATCATCCGTCGATTGTTTCTAAAAGCAAACAAAAAACGTGCAAAGTATGCCTTAGTTATATAATATCTTCAACGTTACGTTTATTGAAACATGAGTGGGTCAATGTCAAGGTGTAAGGAAAGTGAAATTTCTTAAATAAGCCGTATCGTCGTCGTCGGCTTGGTGTGAATGGCACATGCTGCACGGCTGTAATGTACGAGGAGCTTCGCAATGTTTCAAGACAGTTAGAAACCCAAATTTAATATTAGTAGCCAAATTATCGTTTGATGCGTATTCTAGATTTTTCCGTTATCTTCAGTGATTTTTTGTGGTCGAAACTCAAAACAATTCTGAATGTTTTGAATATACGGTAGGCCATCTAGGAATGGGGTCGCACTTACGATTTGTATAGCCTACCATGCTCATATACACATAACTGTGTCTGTTAAAAATAACCCCTGGATCAATTTACCTTCTAAATAAACTGGCTTCATTGAGATGTGGATGTTAGACAAACATTGTACTTCTCGAAAAACAAACCTGATCTCTCATTTTTGAACTTTTACATTACATTTTACCTAATTCGATAGAAAATTCAAACGGCCTTCTACTTCCGTGAGGAGTATTCGACTATCTTAGGGTGCAATAGAAATAATTTCAAAACATGTCAAGGTAACTGCTAATTCCCGTTTTGTTAGTAGTACTATTCAGTTTACAAATCTCTGGCCACATCTAGGCCACAACAGTTTTTGTTGGACGAAAGGTTCAAGGTACGGAACATTAGTAAGCTTCATACGTCAGACATACAGTTTTTTCTCCCTTTTTTATTCCTCGGACAAATCCAGTTGGCAAGCTTAAATGCGATATAGCATACTATAGCGTTTTGATGATTGGTTGTTGGGTTATAAGCCATTCAGTGTACAAAAACGCTAAAATCTGACAGTCTGTCAGTGCTCCATTCTTGGAGGTAAAGAATTCATACTTCAAGATTATAAAGTACATACAAGGAGCTTCAAAATGAGGTATCTCATGAACCCTCATTCCTTTTGGAAGAATGTGTAAATACGGCAGCTGGACGTCCTCTTGAAATGTCCAACTTCGCTTTTCGCACCAAAATATAGTGTCCATGCACCAATTTTATCACAATGAATTTTAGTTTTTCAACTTGAACAGTTAAAATATTAAGTAGGCGGCTTTTCGAAAAGCATGGAATACAAAAAACGCAGTTTTGTATTTTACAAGACTGGAATCCTTTCTCAAGAGAAAACTAGGAAGATATTATCTTATCATTATCTTAGTTTTACTTCCTCTAAGCCTTCTGCTGACTACACTACTGGCGACGAAGTATTGTAATCCCAAATAATTTCAACATTAAGATATCACTAAGAATCATGTCATTCATTTTCATCGGTTTGTGGGTCTGTCTGTCTGTCAGTCTGTGCGCTAAGTCTTGGCCCGTTTGTATATTTGTATAGCCTTGAAAGAGCTGCCTGGATTTTGATGATTTTTTCACAGAAGGTTACCAATATGTCGAGTCTGACGGGTAGATTTATCAGGCGGTGAGGCATGTGGGGAGGGAAAACGTTACCAGCTGGACGGTACTTTCGGTAGGGCAGGGACCTGTTTGACTGACGAGATCTTTTTTATTTCTCATTTAATTTTTTTCTCCGATGGTCCAACCGAAGATATCTTTTATCAACTGATGACAGCGATGCGTGGAAGGTGCAGAAAAAAACATAGTTAACGCCATTTTTTCGAAAATACAAAGCTTCCATTCACAATTTCTGATGAATGTGTGTATCTCAGACTTCGTCTACGTTCAATCCGCCCGAATATTAGGTTTCTGGTTATAAAAAGAAACAATCATCC